AGACGGTTGTCCAGCATTCCAGCTCCCTCAGGAATGCAGACCGTCCCAGGCTGAGAATCCTCAGAACTGCTCTCCAAGGTTCCCTGTGCCAGCTGGCTGAAGGCCTACCAAGTCCCCAGCCCTGGTTGGGGGAGCCCCTAAAGGAAGCCAGAACTGCCAGGAAGGAAGGGGAGGTGGCAGGGCACCACAGTGTCAGGGTGCTGAGTGTGGGCTGGCACTCCTCTGTCCTGGCATGAACCACCACGGAAGCAAGAGCTGATGGCGGGTCCATTTCACACAAGACATAGCCCCTCTCACCACAGGCTTCTGGGAAAGGGCTTCGATGCTCTGGATCCTCCCAGATCCAGGAATCCTGAGGGTTGGAGGGGGCAGAGATTGTATTTGTCTCTGCCCCTTCCAGATGTCTCTGAAAGTGGCAGACAGGAACTCCCGATGGCCCACACTCCATGCCAAAGGAGGAAGCTTGGAGACCAGCAAGACCCAGGAGACCAGCGATGCCACCTCCGGGCCTCTCCCCTCAAACTAGCCCTGGGTGGGCTTCTTGGAGCATCACTGCTCCTGGAGTCCTCATCTTTTAGACCTCCAAAAACCGCCCGCCTACCGAGGCGAGCTGTCGCCCCCTCCTCAAGTCCCTCCCCTCTTCCCTCCCCTCACTCCAGGCCCCTCCTCCTCGCGCCCCCTCCCCGTAGCCCCGCGCGCGCGGGCGGTGGTGACATCACGACACGACGGCGGCGGGAGCGGACAGGCCCCCGAGCACATCACTTCCTTGGCGCCTCCCGCGGGCGCGGACGCGGCTCCCGGCTCTCAGCGTCCCCGCGCGTTCCCGCGCGTCCGGCCCCATGGCGCACCCGGCCCCGCCCGCCGCCGAAGAGCTGCCGGGCCCCGCAACGCGGCGCCTCTACTCCAGGTGGGCCGGGCCGGGCCGGGCCGGGGCTGGGGCGGCAGGGGGCCAGAGAACTGGGGACCCGGACCCGGGTCGGGGCTGTAGTGGGGCGCGGGCGCGAGGCGGCCGCGGGAACAAAGGCGGCGCGGGCGGCGGCGCAACGTGGCCAGCCGGGCACGCGCCTTTCCCACAGGGCCGCAGGAGAGCCTGGGATGTCCCGCGTGGGGAGTGGATAGCGGTGGAGATGGGTGGCCGGGGCACCGCCTCCTGTGGAATCCCGGCGGGGAGATGGGCAGCCTCTGGGTGGGGTACGGGAGGATGCCACCAGTGTCCCTCCCAGACCCTGCATGGTCGCAGGGCATCTCGGCATCCCGCAGGGCACTCAACAGAGTAGTGGCCAAGACCTGCGGGCACAGGTGTGGTCCTGTCAAGAGGACTTGCAGAGCTCACCTTACCCCAGGTGGGTGTGTACCTGTGTGCCCTCTTCCGGCAGGTGCACAGGTGATGCCAGGGGTGACTGTGGGAATCTTGTCTACCTGGCCTCAGGGGTTTTCCTCAAGCAGGATGGCACTCATCCTCCCAGACATACCATCGGCTATCCAGGGGAAACTCAGGGGCTCTCACTGAGGAGCCAACTGAAACAGATGCCCAGACTGGGGTGGGGGGCAGGCTGGAGAGATAGGAGGTGGCAGAGGACATCTGGGGCCGACGAGGCAGGCTGGGTGGAGGGACCCATCCTGCGGTCGTCTACTGCTTCTCTAGGTCAGGCAAGGGGTCAGTGGGGCTGGTGCTGACCGCTTCCCCAGGTATTGCATTGGCTCTCAGGCCAGGCGTGGGTCAGTGGGAGAGGTGACCACAGTGGCAGGGCTGACTGGGGGGAGGCGCTAGCTGCTTCTTTAACTGATGGGAAGTAGAGTTTGGCTGGCGGTGCCTGGTTTATGGGCACGGCAGTTTGGTCGTGGGGAAGCAGCCTGGAGACTTCTTAAAAGGGAGAGACCCCAATTAAAGAATGAACTGGTGTGGGTGGACACTGGTGGGCAGGACCCCAGTGGGAAGTAGAGCCTCGTCCCCACCTCACCCCCATGCGGGTCCTGCCAGGGGTGGGGCTCTTGATCCTGATGAGTTGGGAGAGCAGCTCTGAAGCACTTAGGCATCTGGTTAACCACGTTGGTTTCATTCTGATGGGCGGCCTCTTAGGAGGAAGAAGGCTTGCCTAGGTATGGCGTGGGTAGTGTTGGCAAGGGTCTTGAGGGTGGATGTTGGGGCAGCCTGCCTGCAGACCCCTGCTGGAGCCAGGCCTAGGTCATGGGGGGGCAGCTGTGAATAAGTCGGGGTGCCCCTGGCTGCAGAGACAGTGTGAGCTGGACATCGGTTCCGGAGAGGGGAGGGAAGGGGGAAGCTGGGGCTACCCCTCAGTCCCGCAGAGCCCAGCTTGGGGAGTGGGGTTCCACCTGCTGACTGGAGCCATATAAGGAGGTGGGCCTGGCTCTGCTGCACCCCCTGAGGCGGGGGGTGGGGTGGGGGGTGTGCCAGGGGCCTGGAGCCCTTGGGGAATAGTGGTCTTGAGGGTGGACTTAAGACCCCTCAGAACAGGCAGGGCTGATGTTGAGGGTCCTGTGGCATGGGTTGGGGGGGCGGGGGGAGGGAAGGCATTGTGTCTTCTAACCTCTGCTTAGGAGCCAGCATCCTGAGGACAGTGACTTGGAGTAGGTCCTTCCACCATACCAGTAGGGGGTGGGAAGCTCTGAATCCTCTGAATCCGCCCGGCAGCCCCACCCCAGGCCTGGTTCCCCTCCCTCTTCACAAATGCTGATTTGGTGACTGGGGGATTACCTGCCCAAAGCCAGTCTGTCCACCTGATCCCTTAGTCCCTGTTGGGCTCCAGTGACCTGTCCAGAGGCCACCGAGCCGTGAACCATCCAACCTGGGTAAGAGGACGGCTGGTGTAACCTACAGACTCTCAAACTCATTGAGGAGGGCTTCCAGCCGCCCCACCAGAGGAGGAAGGCCTTGTGTAAGGTAGTGTGTGGTGGACCCCAGCACTGCCCACTGCTGCAGCCCATGGGGCTGTGTGAGCATGAGAAACCTGCATCGGGACAGGTGTGGGCAGGTGTGGGCTCCACGACTCGGGAGCAGGGGTAGGGGGTGAGCAAGAGGGACATGGGGTGCCTTGGTCCTTGGAGGGTGGAAACAGTTAACACATGCCCATCTGCTTCATCTGTATGGTTGGAAATTGGAATCCCCAGAGGCACCACAGAAGGAAGGTCTGGCAATCTACTTCAGATCAGCCATTGAAAACCCCAAGGAACCCAGTTCTACTCTGACACACCTGGGACACCATGGCTGGGAGCACTGGATAGCAGTGGTGTTGGTTTTGGTCCCTGGACACTGCCTGGTGCCCCACCAGGTGGCTTCTCTTCTTACTAGGGCCGCATTTGAACCATGACGGAAGTGGGCCTGTGACCAGGCTTAGCCCCTGTGACCCTCTCCCCCCCGCAGTCACTGGGAAAGGCATTGCATGCACTAACACCATCTATCTCTTAGCTCTTGGACAAGCAGGGCTTAATTGAGAAGCAGGGTGCATGGTTGTCATGACGATGGAGGGAGGGAAGGAGGGAAGCAAGCGGGCAGCTGCAGAGGAGCCTGAGGGTCAGCCCGGCCTTGGGGACCATGCAACTTGGTTGGTCTTTGGGGCAGGCACAGAACTGCAGATTCCCTTTGCTGAGGTCTGTTGTCCCCTGCAGGGACTACATTCTTGGCTGCCCCACCCAGTTCTGACCAACACCCCCACAGCAGAGGGAGCCCAAAGCCCAGAATTCTGCTGCCTCTGGGCAGGTCACTTCCTGCCTCCAAAGAGCTGACCTTACAGTCCCAGCCCAGCTTCTGGCCTGGCTGAACCCACTCAGTCACTGTAGGCCAGGGCGCAGCCCAGTGGGGACCCTGTACAGGGATCTGGCGATCTGTAAGCTAAGGCTTGGGGCTGCATCGCTCTCTGTGACCACTCAGCCACTCGGCGGCTTAGCCTGGGCTTGGGCAAGGCAGCGTCCACCCCTGAAAGTCTGACTGCCCATGGGGCCCGAGCTGCAGGCTCCTCCCCACCCTTCCGACCCTGCCCACCGCATTCTGAGGGGGGCACTGCCCTCCCTTGGAGGGTCTGACGGTGGCTGCAGGAGTCTAAGTAGAAGAACAGTCAGTGAAGCCCAACTGGAGAAAACCAGGGACTCCTGGGTGTGTTGGGGGCATTGCCAGCAGACAGTATGGCTGGAGTGGGGGGTTTGGTTGTGGTGGTCAGCGTCCCAAGGCAGCAGCAGGGTGAGTGGACCCAGAGAAGGGAGGCCTTCAGGCAGCATCAACTCCACACCTGCCGTCCACGCTGAGCCCACAGGTATGGGAAAGTGGGAGACGGTGACTTCTGGGAGACTTCACAGAGGCACAGTGAATGGCTGCTGCCCTTTGTGTCGGTGCCACTGGGCTGGGAAGCCTGGGGACACTGCCTGCCACAGCCCTCATTTAGGTACTGCTTCTTAGAAACCCTATACAGGGTCACTGTGAGTCAGAACCGACTCGACAGTACTTAACACATGTGGTGTCTCTCCCAGTCACTCATGAATACCGTACAGTGTCCTGCAATGCTATCCACGTGGATGTGTGGGGAGTCCTTGTGGGGCAAACTCTGAATGTGCTGGACTGCTAACCAAAGGTGGGAGGTTCGAGTCCACTCACGGTGCTCCAGAAGGAAGGCCTTGCCATCGATCTCCCTTAGAAAAACCAGCTGTTGAAAACCCATGGAGCACAGTTTAACTCTGACACACGTGGGGGCCACCAGGAGTCCAAGCTGACTCAACGGCAGTGGGTCCTGGTGGGTTTGAGGTGCTCACCTGACCCTCTCCTCAGCTCCCCAGCCCCCTTGCTGCAGGTTTGCCCTGAGCTCCACTGTCTTTAGGGGTGCGTCCCTGAGGCTCCGGGCATGTCCTGTTCACACTGGCCATACATTTTTACTGTTTGTGCTATCAGCTCCTTTGTCCTGGGACCTCCATAACCCATGGAGCCTGGCCAAGGAGGAGGGATATCAGAGGGACGAAGCAAGGAGGGACAGGGTCAGGTTCCTGGACTGCTGTCTCCTGAGGAAAACTCACCTGAGGCTCCAGGCACTTTCCGGACTTGAGTTCCTCCTGGGGCTTGGGAGTGTCTGCTTCTTTCCCACACCAGGGCCAGGGGTGGGTGGTGGCCAGACGGCGCTTCTCAGGTGAGGCAGGTGAGGCAGGCAGGGAGCAAAGGGCTGAAGGGCTGTGGTGATCACAGAATCATGCCTGGAGGTGCCATCCAGGGAGTAGACAGGCCGCTGGACTGGACACACTGCCTCTGGACGTTCACCTAGAGAGCACAGATGTAGCATAGACATCCATTGCCCGCCAGGGGGCAGAGATGGACTCTGGAGTGGGGGCTGAAGGGGTGGTCAGGGAGGAGCTCCCCAAAACCAACTGTCCCCCCACCGCAGGATGGAAGCCTCATGCCTGGAGCTGGCCCTGGAGGGTGAGCGGCTATGCAAGGCCGGCGACTTCAAGGCTGGCGTGGCCTTCTTTGAGGCGGCTGTGCAGGTGGGCACCGAGGACCTGAAAACACTGAGTGCCATCTACAGCCAGCTGGGCAACGCCTACTTCTACCTGAAGGAGTACACCCAGGCCCTCTCCTATCACAAGCATGACCTTCTGCTGGCCAGGTGCGTGCAGGGGCAGCATCCTGGTGGATGGGAGACAGTGTGTGAGCTGAGACACATGTGGATCCAGGACTGAGTGTGTGCGTGTGACCCAGTGTTCTGTGTGAACATATAGGAGTCCCCCATCCATGTGTCCCGGGTGCATGTGACCCAGTGTTCTGTGTGAACATATAGGAGATCCCCCATCCATGTGCCACGTGTGTATATGACCCAGTGTTCTGTGTGAACATATAGGTGTTCCCCCATCCATGTGTCCTGTGTGTGTGTGATCCAGTGTTCTGTGTGAACATATAGGAGTCCCCCCATCCATGTGCCACGTGTGTATGTGACCCAGTGTTCTGTGTGAATGTATAGGTGTTCCCTCATCCATGTGTCCTGTGTATGTGTGACTGAGTGCTATGCATCTTTGTGAGCACATGCGTCACATATCTCTCCATGTGGCCCTGTGAGAGAACATGCCATCTCTGTCTCTTCATGTCCACATGAGCACACACGTCTCTCCGTGTGGCCCTCTGGGAGAGAATGCTGTCTCTGTCTCCTCATGTCCATGTGAGCACACGCGTGTCTGTCCGTGTGGCCCTGTGGGAGAGAATGCCGTCTTGGGGCTCTGTGTGTGGGTGTGAAGGTGGGGTGGGAACAATCCAGAGGATGATGCTTCTTCCTGGGCCTCCAGCCTCGCCCCCACCTCACTCAGTGTTTCCTGTTCTGAGGGCTCTCCCTGCCCCTATGAAGCCCATCTCCCGAGCAGACTCCCCGCCTGCTTCCTGCGCCAGCCCCTCTCTGGCTGACCCTCTCTGGCCTCAGGCTTTGCCCCCACACCCGGCTCTTACCGCTCCAGGCCCCTCTCCACTGGAAGCAGGCCCTGACCCTGGGTGTCATGACCCACAGTGCCTCCCCAGGACCTGCACCAAGCTCTCACCTGTGGGCTTTATGTGGCCAGGCGCCCACCCTACAGGGAGCTCACAGGATCCCAGCAGAGCCTCACCTGCCCTTGGTGTCCTGCCCAGCATCTCCCCAGTGGGCCCCCAGCAGGTCCCCTTGGCCCACATTCTCTCCCAGGTTGCACTGGGCTCAAGGCCTGGCCCTCACCCCACCCTGCAGGACCATCGGTGACCGCATGGGGGAGGCCAAGGCCAGCGGGAACCTGGGCAACACTCTCAAGGTCCTGGGTCGCTTCGATGAGGCTGTTGTCTGCTGCCAGCGGCACCTGGACATCGCCCAGGAGCAGGGAGACAAGGTGGGTGTCAGCCCTTCCCACCCCGACTCCCGAGGGGGCGAGAGCTGGGAGGACAGTCCCCGGAAGCACCCAGGAACAGGACTGAGCCCAGCACCCCTGCTGCCACCCCCGAATCTGCTGAGAACTGGGAGCGAGGGTTAGAGGGCAGGAGTGAACCACTGTGAACACACTTAGGGCAGGGGCAGCCCCACCGTGGTGCCCGTCACTCCCTGCCCCAGTGAGACAGGTGTCCTGCTGAATAGGAAACAGAGGGGTGACTTCAGAACTCAGGGCCAGAGGTGGACGGCCAGGGCCCCAGCATTTGGCCCTGGTGAGCTCTGAGGACAGAGTGGGGCTGGGCAGCTCACCCAAGGGAGCTGAGTAGGGAGAGCACTGTGTGTCTGCTGGGGACCACCCTGGCAAGACCCCCAGTCTGAATCTCAGAGACCCTCCAAGGCCCGTGCTCTCAGGCCCCCACAGCTCTGGAGACAACTCACTAGGTGTATGGCTACAGGGACCCTAAACACACCTTGGGGTGTTTTCCAATGAACCCCCATGACCTAGTGGCTGGGGGCTCCTTCTGGAACATGGGGGATACCCCCCCATTCCTTGGTGCCACCTGCTGCAGGTCGGGGAGGCGAGAGCGCTCTACAACATCGGCAACGTGTACCATGCCAAGGGCAAACAGATGTCCTGGAGCAGTGCCCAGGACCCCGGGAACCTGCCGCCTGACGTGCGGGAGACACTTCGCAGGGCCTCTGACTTCTACGAGTAAGTGCGGGTGGCTGGCATTCGTCCACAAGGTCATGGACCATCCCAGGTGCCCAGCCATCCTGCTGGTCCAGCCCATCCCTCTGCTGCACCTGTCCCCAGCAAGACCCCTGACATCTCTGCTTCTCATCCCCCATAGCCATTCAGAGAAGCAAGGTCACTGTGCCTTTTCAAATGGGGCAGTGGGCAAGCTGGACAGTAGGAGGACTAAGGCCACTCCTGAAGACGGAGCAGGGGGCAGGGGGAACCCCGGGTCACCATGTCTGGAAGTCTGCCGGCTGGCCCCTTCCTGGCTGTTCCAAGCATGCCCCAAATTGGGGTCTGTGAACAAGGAGCAGGTTTTTGTCCTTCAGCCTGTAGGGGACCCTGTAGAGAACCCGGCTCAGACAGATCTTCCCCCAGGAAAAACCTGTCCCTGGTTAAGGAGCTGGGCGACCGGGCAGCCCAGGGCAGAGCCTACGGCAACTTGGGCAACACCCACTATCTGCTGGGTAACTTCACCGAGGCCATCGCTTTCCACAAGGAGGTGAGCAGCCTGCGGGCAGGTAACCACCTGGCACTTGGCTGGGTGGCCCATACCTTGGTTCCACTTGTTGGTAGTGGGGCAGGGCCTCACTGTCTGTCTGTGCTTGCTCCTGGGGTCCCCTCTGGACCCAGACATTAGGCTGCCAGCCTAGACACAACCGGAGCTCAGAGGGGTGGGGTGCTGGGGGGGCGGAGCTCTCTCTGGAGCAGGACCCGCCCAAACATGGGGTTTCTTTTTCTTCAGCGTCTGGCCATTGCTAAAGAGTTTGGGGACAAGGCGGCCGAGAGGAGGGCCTACAGTAACCTGGGGAATGCCCACATCTTTCTGGGGCGCTTTGATGTCGCGGCTGAGTACTACAAGTAGGCAGATTTCCCATCTCACCCACCCACCACTCTGAAGTCGGAGGGATGGGAGTACCCCCATCCAGTCCCCTCAGGACATACCAGTGAGAGGACCATGTCTTCTGCTCTCCTGGGACTGACTGTGTGCTGGGGGCAGGAGACAACTACAGACAGGACTTGGGGGAAGAGGTTTCCACTTCTGCCCCTCATGTGGCTTTGGGGTGCAGATGGGGAAACTGAGGCACGGGCACCTAGGACTGTGCAAGCTGGTGGTTACTTGGACTTGTGCTAGGCCCCTGGCCTGGCCTGCTTCCTGGGAGTCTAGGTCTTAAGCATGCATGCCCTTTCAGGACCCTCATGGACAGAGGAGGCTCGGGAAAATCTCAGGGTGGTGGGAGGGACACACCTGTTTGGTACCAACTGCCAGGCATTGCTGCCCACTGGTGACTCTCCCCAGTGCCCACCTGCTGTCCACAGGTAGGAAAACACTGACCGCTGCCACCCCCCCCACCCCCACAGGAAGACGCTGCAGGTGTCCCGCCAGCTACAGGACCAAGCAGTGGAGGCGCAGGCCTGCTACAGCCTAGGTAACACCTACACACTGCTGCAGGATCACGAGCGCGCCGCCGAGTACCACCTGCGCCACCTGCTCATTGCCCAGGAACTGGCCGACAGGTGCGCACCTGCCCCAAAGCCCTGTGGCCCTGCCTCTGAGCCTCAGCTCTGTGGTGATGGAGAGACCACTCTCCTAGACGCATATCGATGGAGGGATAAATGGACAGACTGTAGACACCTGTGCAGGTAGCCACAGGCAGGCTGCTCCCCCAGGTGGGGTGTGGGTCTGTAGGCCTCTTGGGAAGTGGAAAGGAGAGGGCCTTTTAAAAGACACATTGGGATGAGAATCCTGTTGGCCACTAGGGGGCAAGCGAGACCACACAAGGCAGCCTTCTCAGCAGTGAGGGAGCCCGCCCAGCCGGCCCCAGCCCTTTGGAGGCTCTGGCTTCACTGTGACTTTGAACACATCTCTGGACTCTCAGGACGCTAGAGGTCCTTTTTTGTTTGTTTGTTTGTTTTTAATGTGTTGATTAATTTATTTTTAAGATGGTTCTTGAGCTCAGCAAATTCAGCAGAGCTAGCTAGTAGCATGCAGACTTATTTAATCTTCACTATAATTTCCTGAAGTAGTTCTAGCTTTACAAATGAGAAGCAGGAATGGAGCGGCGGACACTTGGCTAAAACCCTACAGTAAGTGGTAGAACATGGTCACCAAGATCTGCTGCCTAAGTTGACCTATTGTTAAATGCAATCAAGTTGGTTCCAACTCAGAGACCCTGTTTAGGGTTTTCTGTTCTCCCGTGATAGCAGCCTGACTTGTAGCCCATAAGCTTCCAGGACCCCTTTCTACGCTATGACTGTGTAGTTGTTGTTGTTAAGTGCCGTTGAGTCGGTTCTGACCCATAGCAACTCTGTAGAGGGTTTCCAAGGAGTGACTGGTGAGCTTGAACCACCAACCTTGCAGTTCAAACTAACTTTGCAGTCCAGTGCATTAACCCACAGCACCACACCAGGACTTCAGGATTCTGCAGAGTTATCAGCATCTCCATACGCCTTCACTTTCCATCAGAGATCACTCGTGGGTTTTTCTTTTTAAAATGTTTTACTGTGAATTATGTGATAGTTTACATGGGAGAACATTAGCTTTACATTCATCCTATCATATATCGCCATAGTTACAATCCCCTCCATGCATCATCAGCCAACCAAAGGGTATATACTATAAGCCTGCCCTCCAGTCGTCAGCACACAGCCCCTCTCTGTCTCTGGGTCTAAAGTCTCCAGCTACTCCATCTCTCCACGTCGTCATCTCTGCCTCCATCTCTGGCATGACTGCTTCTCTGAGTAGGGTCCTGCTCTCCGCTCTTCTCTCTTGATGGTCCCAGGGACCTCCGCTCCTGGACTGCAAGGTCCATCACTTCCTAGAGGTCCTTTGATGATCACTGGATCCACAGGTGTGGCATCTGTCATAAGGAGGTCACTGCTCCTCCTGAAGTCCATGCTGAGGTCCAGGGCTGCCCATTGTGTCATCTGACTCCCGGCTGGGCATTGGGTCAGCTGTGCTCTGGGGGTGCTGGTGTGGACCAGTTTCCCTGTTCTGCAGAGTGGGTGAAGGCCGGGCATGTTGGAGTCTGGGGAACGCCTACGTGTCCATGGGGAGCCCCGCACAGGCCCTGACCTTCGCCAAGAAACACCTGGAGATCTCCCAAGAGGTGAGCTGGAGCCCCGCCTCCCCCAGGCCGCCGCCCAGACCTTCCAGGTCCTTCTGCCCTGTCTGCCACTTACTGCACTGGCTCATGTTAGCGTTCCTGGGCGGGCAGGCTGCTTCATCAACTGCCTCTCCACCTCAAAGGGGCCAAGGGGCTACCGCAGAGTGCAAGGTGGGGTACTGTTACCCACAGTGTGTAGAGTGGGGCTGCTGGTGCCCCATATTCCCCCTTCATGTTGGCTGCAGTGCTACTCCCCTTAGCCTGTGTGGAGTGGGGGTCACTATCCTTGGAATACTATTGTCCACTCAGGCTGGCCCAAGACCTAATTCTTCTGTCCCCATCCCTGCCCCCCATGGAAGCTCTAGCAGGCATCAGGCTGAGTTGGGCTATGGGGACCCCTATGCCTGACCAATGACCATCCCAAGTGGCAGCCAGGGCCCCTTCCGCAGGGACTCTCCCAGGCCCAGGCCTGCCTTAGAAGCAGAGTCCCCCCACTTCCTTAGAGGCTGGTTCAGGGGATCTGTGGCTCCCACCCAAAGCCTTCCCTGACACTGTGCTGGGACAACCCATGGAGGGACGGCAGGCCACCCCAGCCTCCCCCTCACCTCTTCCAGAACCAGCCCCGATAACGTCGCCCTCTCTTGCCTGCCCTGCCGGCCTCAGACCACCTTGGCCCTGGACACGTGTTAGGGTAGAGGGACTCCTGGGCAGAGGACGGAAGTACAGGGTAGAGAGGGGCCTGCTGCCCCTCCATGCCACCCTCCTGTGAGGATTTATGCAGATGGACTTGGTCCAGGACACAGAAATCTCCTGGGAGAGCCCTCCCAGAGTCTGGGGGACAGTCCTTGACCAGAGAGAGAGACGAAAGGTGGGCCACACTGTCCACTGCGGGACCTTGTGCTATGAGCCAGACTGCCTGAGATCTGAATGTGACTATCGAGGGTCACCAGGACCCAGAGTCCCTGTACCAGCCGGGTTTTGTCCCTGGGAGCCCCCAGCAGGCCTTCTGTCCTACCAGTCCTTCACCCTGCCTCACTCCATGCAGATTGGGGACCGAAACGGTGAGCTCACGGCCCGCATGAACGTGGCGCAGCTGCAGCTGGTGTTGGGCCGTCTGACTAGTCCAGTGGCCACTGAGAAGCCCGACCTGACCGGCTATGAGGCGCAAGGTGGGTCTGGGGGAGGGGCACCGGCCTCTGTGTAAGGTCAAGAAAGGTTCTGCCCCAAACAGAAAAGACTTTCCAAAGGCCGGTCCCAGTGATGGGCAGGGGCGTCTTAGAGGGGAGCTCAGTTTGTCCAGGCGTCTGTCCCACTGGGCAAGTGCATGTCAGGGAGGCAGGCAAGACAGATGGACACTCAGGCTGGGGCAGCCCCCCAGCTCTATCCCCCACATCCTTGGTGGAATGGTATGGCCCTTCCTGGTCCTTCTCGTTGCCTTGGTATTAGCATCGACCCCTTTTCCTCCCTGGCCGAGGACCCTCCCTCTGGGTACAGAGAGAGTATTCATATCACTTTGGGGTGGGCCAGCTGAGGAGGAGGCCCTGGGTCCGTGCAGCTGGACAAGGGAATGACCGAGGCCCGGTTCTCAAGGCCAGCCCAGTGGCCTTGATTGACTTTGATGGCCTTATGAGTGGTCCTTATCTATTCGGGTCAGCGGGCTACGCACACGAATGAGCTCAGAACGTCCTTACAGAGCAGACAGATTATAATGAATGTGGAGGGCCGGCCGCAGGGTCCTCATGACATGGGGTCCCCTCCCTCGTGGACCTACCGAGAACAAGGGCTAGGGAACCAGTCCCTGACGGCTGTGGTTTTACACGAGGGATGCAGCTCTGAGATCCCCTCAGGCACTCTCCTCCCCCAGTCCCTGCCCAGCACTTGGGCCTGACCACTCGGAGCTGTGGGGGTGGGGTGGGGCCTGCATCTGGAAAGACTCCACAAGCCGCCAACCCCGGAACTCGGGCGTCCCCTTTTCTGAGCCAGGAAAGGGGGGCCATGGTGGGTGACATCTGCTGGGACAAGGCCACTCTGTCCTCTCCTTCCTCCTCCGCTCTGCCTGCTTGCCGGGACCTTTCCTGGTCAGGGGGGCTCCGGATGGCTCTGGGGCCATCAGCTGGCGGCCTTGTTGAGTGTTAGGGAGAGCTGAAGTAGGAGAGAGTACTGGACCCTAGGACCCGCCATGATGTGGCTGCTGGACCAGGGCAGAACCCTAGCGTCTGGGAAGCCTGGAGGAGGGCCTGGCTCAGGTGAGCCCGCCACGCTGGGGGTTTGGACCAAGCCAAGCTTGAGGGGGGTCAGTGGGGAGTGTCACTCCTTCAGCGTGTGTGGAGACCTCCTTGGTCTTGTGGAAACCGTCAAATGGGGGAGGTGGTGTTGTTTAAATGCCATTGAGTCACTTCGAGTTGCAAGCAACTCACAGTGACCCTGTATAGGGTTTCCATAGAGTGGCTTGAACTGCTGACCTTGTGGTTCACAGTCCAGTGCTGATCGTACAGCGCCACAGCGGGAGTCCAGAGGCTGCGTTGTTGTTAACTGCCTTCGAGTCGGTTCTGACTCATAGCCACTTTGTAGAGGGTTTGGCTGGTGGCTTTCGGTCCATTGCTTAGCCTACAGCCCGAGGGTGACAAGGAATTCAACCAGTGAGGGAGGGAGGGAGAGCAGAGTGGAGCTGGCTGTGCTGTAGGGGTGGCCACCTTGTTTGCTGGTAGGCATAGTCAGTGGGGCCGGGGCTGTGGGCGTGGTGGGGAGTAGCCAGCTTGAGATTTCAAACTTTCCTTTGTTTTTTCCATCTTGATACAAATGAGCGAACTTTTACGCAGTTTCAGAACAAAGGAAGCCAGCTGCCGCTCACAGCCTTGGGTTAACCCCACAAGAAGCCTGATATATGTCTGGGTGGGTGAGGACACCTCTCTGTTGACACCTGGGGCCCCCCCGTGAGACCAGGACAGTTCCCAGGCCACCCTGGATGGCATCCCAGCGAAGGGAGACTGAGTGTGACTGAGTGTGCTGTGTGGAGGGAGGGGTTGTGCTTCCCTCCCACAAGGGCTGGGGGGAGGTGATGGGAGGGGAGGCACTGACTGGCCGGCCTGTGGGCCTCTGGGTAGGGGGTGGAGACAGGGTCAGATCAGGAAGGGTCTCACTCCTGGGTTGGGGACGCTGCAGGGATGAGCAGAGGAGCCGTGGACCCTAGCCGCAGCCCTTGGGCGCTGTGTGGTGAGTGGGTGAAGGATGTCCCCTGGGTCTGCTGGGCGCTGGGACAGAACCTGAGCTGTGATTCCAACATGACCTCCTGGGGCGTCTGCTCAGGCCACGTCTGTGGAAGTGCCCGTTGGGCCTCCTGGTGGTGAGGGCCAGTTGGCCGTTGGATACCACTGGAGCTGGGCCAGCAGAAAGAACAGTGATGACCGTGTGATGGTCAGACCTGGGCCGATGTGTCCAGACCTTGCCTTTGGAGCGGGCAGGGCGGGGCCGCAGTCAGGGCTGTTGGAACTGGCTGGCTTTGGATCACCTCAGCACCTCGTCGCAGACAGAGGGTGCATTTAGGCTGCCCGCCCTGCCCTTGCCTGGCCATGAAGGGCCCGCCCCGGAGCCAGGCTCAGGCCTGCTGCTCTGAGACGGGTGTTCCAGCCTCTGCCTCGGCCAGGGACCCACCGTGCGTGTGGGCCGCCGACAAGGTGGGGAGACAGTAGGACTCCCGGGTCACATGGTGGGAGATGGCAGTAGTTTCCCTGGGTGTGGTGAGTAGGAGATACCCCATTGTACTGGCGCCAGGGGCAGGGTGAAAGATGATACGGCAGCCTGCTTGGCTCCAGGACAACCCCCCCCCCCATTCCTTCCTCATCCTCAGTTTCATCCTAATTTGTGGGGGCAGCTTCAGTATCAGAGAACGGGCTCAGCAGGGAGAGGTGGTGCCCTCTCTCCTTAAGTCAGGGGTGGAGTGGAGGGTGTCTCAGGACAGAGGCAGGCCAGCCCTGATGCCCACACCCAGGGGAGCCTGCTCTGGGCCGGGAGGAACAGCCTTGTCCTGGACATGGCCTTCATCAGTGTGGGTGGAGCGGCCAGCGTGGTCAGGCTGCTGGGCCCGCCCCTTGGACCAGGTCCCAGGCAGTTTCATTTCTGGGCCATGAGAACACACAGAACCAGGGGCCCCTGACAGGGACAAGAGCACAGTCCCCTCGCCCTCCTTCCTGCTGCTTCTTGGGAAGTCTTAGGCATCGCTGTGGGCAGGACCCCAAGGGCACCTGGGCCCGACCAGCTGGGAGTCAGGAGCAACCCTGGGCCAGCTTGCAATCCTTCCTCCTCCACGCTGACCACTTCAGGACCTGTGTTACATTGAGAATGGAGCGGCCACCGGAAGCCAACACCCCTACACACACCCCATGGCTCTCTCTCCTCTTCACCCCCATAGTCTGCCCCAGGTCTCTTTATCTCCCTACACAGTCTTTCTCTGGGGTCTCTTCATCCCTTTCTGTCTGTCTCTGGGAAAGTCTTCACACCCACCCCCAGTCTCTGGGGTCTCCCACACACCACCCCTGCAGTCGCTGGGGTCTCCCACACACCATTCCACAGTCTCTGGGGTCTCCCCACACACCACCCCTGCAGTCTCTGGGGTCTCCAGAGGGGACCTTCATGAGGTTGGGCCCCCTTTTCCTTCCTGTGCTGGAGCCCCCTTGGGAGATGGCTAGGTGTGGATGTGGCATGGTGGCTGGGGGTGCCGTCCATGTACTACCCCAGGGCTGTGGGGGCAGGGGTGGCAGCGGTTTCCTCCCACAGGTGTGTCCAGAGGATGTGGGCCCATGCTGCCTTCCGTGGTGGCTACCAGAGAGTCCCTTCATGGAGCAGCCCCTAGAGATCTACCCACCCGATCTCAAGTCCACGGTGGCTTCCTGGAGGAGGCGGCCATTGGGCAGAGCCTGGGTTCTTGGTTTCCAGGTGGGGAAGACAGTCCAGGCAAGGAAAGAGAAGTGGGGGGCGGGGGTGCAGGTAAGCAACAGGACCTGCAGCCAGGTATACCAGGGGTGACAGGACACGGGGTCACCGAGTCTACGCATAAGGATCATGCCAGGGGGTAAGGTCCTCTGGACCCTGAGCTCCATGGGGTGGGCTTGGAACCAGTCTGGCAGAGGTGTGGGCGCTGGGCTGACCTGCCTGCCCGCTTCTAACAGGGGCCAGGCCCAAGAGGACGCAGAGGCTGAGCTCAGAGACCTGGGACCTGCTGAGGCCCCCCCTGGAGCGGGTGAGCTGGGCTGGAGGGCGGGAGTTGCTGGGTGGCACCTGGGAACAAGTTGGAAGCAGAGCTGTGGTGGCCCCAGGTAATGGGCCAGGGTGAGGTGTTGGCTGTGTGCCCTCCGCTCTGTCCTGTCTCTGCTGTGAGATAAATGGGCCGTTAGCATCTGAGGCCTGGGGGCCATCTGTTGTCCTTCCCCGGCGGCCCCTCGAGGCCCTGCACCCCTGCATGCCACCCCCCTTCTCAGCTTCCTCCCTGGGGGGTCCATGTCCTGTCAGAACACACTGCAGAGCCCCTGGCCCCCCGCACAGCTGCTGTGTGGCCAGTTTCCTGGTGGCCCCACAGACAGGGATGGCCACGCCATCTGCTTTCTGGGTTTTTTATACAGGGGTGACATATATGTATTGTTACAAGTAGAGATCTGCTTAGGGTTTGGCCAGGGCCCTGTCTAGAGGGTTGGAGACCCTGGACCGGCTCTCCCTGTGGGTCGGAGGGGTGCTGTATGTTTGGGGGTGACCTCTCTGCTCCAAGCCCCTGCGTACAGCTGGGTCTTGGTTTGGGGACAAGGCTCAGGGAGGGCCTGTCACCACCACTGTGACAAAGATGACCTTTGGGGCAGCTGATGGCTCACCTAAAACCTCGTGTCTCTGGATGCCCCCATGCTCCTCCAAGCCACTCTTGGCCCTCGCTGGCCTGTCCCTCTGCAGCAGAGCCTGAGCACTTGCATCCTTTGTCCATTCCTGGGGGCCCTGGAGAGTCTGTGGAGCTCCCCAGGCTCAGCTTTCTGTCTTCCCCAGGAGCAGAATGGGGACACCCACCCCTCAGGGGACTGGCGGGGGCCAGGCCGGGAATTGCTCCCCCTGCCGATAAGGAGCAGGAAGTACCAAGAAGGGCTGGACACTGCTGAGCAAAGGTCCTTGGAGGGCGGCCACTCACCACTGGACAGCTCCGACGTCCGGGTACAGGTGCCTCGCTCAGTACGTGGGGCGCCCCAAGGGAGGGAGAGAGTCACGTCCGAAAATCACATGCTCCCCACCCCACTCCCACTGGCCAGCAGAGCCAACGGGGTTGGTCAAAGGGAGGCAGAGGGCTGTCCACCCCCAGAGGGCAGGAGTTGCTGTGAGGGTCCAGCAGAGCCGGTGGGGTTGGTCACAGGGAGGCAGAGGGCGGTCCACCCCCAGAGGGCAGGAGTTGCTGTGAGGGTCCAGCAGAGCCGGTGGGGTTGGTCACAGGGAGGCAGAGGGCCGTCCACCCCCAGAGGGCAGGAGGAGCTATGAGGATCATGGGCAGCGACAGTGATGCCTTCCTGCTCGTACTTGCACCACCTCCATCAGGGGTCCTTGAGAGAAGACCCTGCCTCTGGACCTTGGAGCCATTACTGATACTGTGTCATTGATGAAAGCCTGGTCCTGCCTTCCCCCTTCCCTCCCCCATCTTGGACCCCAGGACCAGCACAGACCAGGGCTTCAGGGTCTGAGGAGGTGCAGCTGGGTGTGGGGCAGGGATGGGGAGCAGACAGGGTGGAACCAGGAGGGTTGGGTGTTTGGGAGTGGGCCTTGTTGGAAATGTAGGGGAGGGAGGCAGTGGGGCAGAAGACCAGCATGGTGGGAGCAGGGCACTGGGGAGCCACAGAGGGTTCCAGAGCAGGAAGAGGGAGGCCTGTTCTGTGCTCCATCAGCCTCCTCTTCACCTGCACTTGTCCACTGGGCTGGGCAGCAGTGGAGCACCCATCTCAGGCGTTCTCCAAGGGAAGGAAGGGTCAGGCCAGCAGCTGTGGGGACTGCTGTAGGGGAGGGTGTACATGCACGGGTCCCTCCAGCCGCCTGTACCCCTGGGCTGAGGAAGGGGGACAGGGGAGCCGTGGCCTCGGGACCCGAGGCATATGGGAAGAGCCAGGTGGGGGGTGGGGAAGGTGGCATCAGCCTTCGCCCCCAGCTGCTTGGAGGACTTTTGTTTTTCTGTGACTCACTGCACCCCTCAGCCGCACCAGCCCCCCTCCATGGGAGGGCTATTTTTAACGTCTCCCCGTAAATGGAACCAACACAACGCACCTCCTCATCTGTCATGTCCCCCCAACATGCTCCTGGGGGTCTGGGGAGGTGATGGGCCCCAGGTCCTCTCATCTGGGACTCCAAAGATGTTAACTTCCTGGCCCCTCGTCCAGCCCATGGGGGTAGGTGCAGCAAAGGGCAGTGGTGGTCAGTGAGACTGGGGGGGGACGCTGGGTGCCCAGCGGCCTGTTCCTCTTGGGACCCACTCCATGCTGTGCCCAGAGCTACCCCCATCTCCACAGCAGCTCCTGATACCCTGCCCAGGGTGGGGGTGCCAGGGATGGGGTGTTACGTGGGAGGGGGGCTTCTCCTGGAAGGAAGCAGGGGCCCATGAGGGTGGTCAGAGTTGGAATATGCTTTTCCCAAAGGACCCCATCCATCGTCCTCGCAGGCAGAGCGTCCCGATGTTTATCGGGGGGCGGGGGTTCCACCTCCATGTGTGGGGGGGTGCGCGAGGGCGGGGACTGGGAGGGCTCCAGCCCCGGATGGCTATTTAAACTCTGGGCTGACTGCTCAGAGGCTTTCAGGAGTGAGGCTGCCGGTGGCCTTTGACGTTCTGCCTAGAGGCCTGTGTTTACTCCTGAGACCCCGCGTGAGTGTGGTTCCCGCTGGGAGTTGGGAGTTCTAGAGGGGAGTTTGGGGTGGGCTGGGATTTGTAGAGGGTAGAGAGGTGGGTGAGCGGTCAGCCACTGGTGAGAGGTCAACAGAGTGGGCCTACGTCAGTGGGGTGGGTGGCCATCGGGTATGAGTGGTTAGTGGCAGGTGGTCAGCGGGGTGAGAGTGGGCACCAGGGCTGGTTCTGTGGGTGTGGTGAGGCTTTAGTAGGGTTCTAGTCCTTTCTGCATGAGGAGCTCTGGTAGCGTAGTGGTTATGAATCGGGCTGCGAACCACCAGCTGTTCTGTGGGAGAAAGATGAGGCTTTCTGCTCCCGTAAAGATTTACAGCCTCAGAAACCCTGTACAGGGTCGCTATGGGTCAGAACCGACTCCACGGCACATAACAACAACAACAACAGTCCTTTATGCACGCCCGGCCGCCACACCCCTGCTGCCTTTCACCCCTGCTTTGGGTCTCTTCAGCAATAGGAAAAACGGGTTAAACTAAAGCAGGAGAGACCAGAGCTAGACTTTAGAAAGGACTGTGACACCTTTAAGGAAAAGAACCCAGGGTTTAAGGCAAGTGTACATGTGAAGTGAGCCTTCCAGAGTGTTGCCTTTCCTGGGAGGCTCAGGGCACAGTTCCTGGGGCCCACGGATCACCTCGGGGAGGCTCCAGGCTGGACATGGGGGCTGGGAGCATTGTCCCTCCAATTGAGGATTGCCCACCCACACCTGGCTGGACTCTGGACGCCCCAGAGCTGCCCTCTTCTGAGTTGTGAAGGGCTGTCCACCACCTGTGTTCAGGGAGATGCTGCCGGCCTACACTCAAGACTCTTCTCCCTTCCTAGCTGGGGTGGGGTTTGGGGGACTCTTTCCCTGCCTGCCTCAGGAGAGTAGCACCCCAAGACTCTCTAGCTGCGGCGGTACGTTGCCCCTCTTTTCCACAGGCTTGAGGAGCCCAGCTCAGTTGTCCTGGTCAGCTGGGTCCCTTCTGAGGCTGGCCCTGCCATTTGCCATGTTGCCCTTGTCGGGGCCTCCCCTCTGGAAGGGGCATGTGGTCAGGAGTGGGGGGCACGCATTCTGTAGCCCCCGCTCTGGGTCTTGCCTGTTGTCTGTCCCACGTGATCCTGCAGGGGACGTGAGCTTGGGGGGGCAGTGCTGAGGGCAGGCCAGATGCAGGACACTGACCCACCTCTGTCCCCAGAGCCTTCCTCGGGCCTCATCCTCAGACGAGGAGTGTTTCTTTGACCTCCTCAGCAAGTCTCAGAGCAGCCGCATGGACGACCAACGCTGTCTTCTACAGGACAGCCAGGCTGGGGCCACCCCCACACTGGAGGAGCGTGTTGGTGAGCACCCCTTCCCCCACCCCGGGGTGGCTGCACACGGATCCGCCAGTCGTGGGTTCTGACACAGATCACTGCAAAATGCCCCTTGTCGCTGGAGCGGCCCCTCCCTCCCTCTCCCGGTGCCCCAGCCGACGTCACGGTACATGCTAGGCAAGTGTGTAATTACCCCGCCACCCGGTGCCGCCCTCCGGAACCATGTGCCATACCCACTCCCTCACCTCCTGACAGCCGGGGTCACTTAGCATGGCAGGCTGGCTTTACGGAGGCTGGACCTCAGACCTCAGCGAGTCCTCACTCTGTCCCCACAGCCCAGCCCTCGCTGATGGCCTCCCCGCAGACGGAGGAGCTCTTTGACCTCATTGCCAGCTCTCAAAGCCGCCGGCTGGATGACCAGCGGGCCAGCGTGGGCAGCCTGCCCGGACTGCGCATCACCCATAATAACCGGGGCCACCTGCGTGGTGACAGTGATCCACAGGAGCCAGGGGACGAGTTCTTCAACATGCTCATCAAGTGCCAGGTAGCCCCTTACCCTGGGTCCACCCGGGCCCCTTCTACTGAATAGGCGGGGATGGCAGGGGGGAGCTGACGCAGCCCTGTCACTGGGCATCCTCGGGTGCTTGGGCTGGAGGGGACATGAGAGCCAGTGGGGCCAGCACCCCAACCCTTCCTGGTGCAAGAGCGGGGAGCCAGGTCACCGGGTCATGAGGGTTGTGGAAGAAAGCAAGGACCGGGGCTGTCCTCTTGAAGTGGGGGCAGCTGGAGGTGTCCCATGGAGGGACACGCTTTGGGAGCTGCCCTTGGCTGTGGTGTGGGTGTGACCAGGGAGAGCCCGGATTGTGGCTGCTGCCCACTAGAATGGTGTGGCTGCCGGCAGTCTCCCTGGGCATAAGGGTTCATTCTAGCATAGTGGCGAGCTGCCTCTCATTCCCACAGAAGAGAGGATGGCCCCACTCCCACCTGGGCCCCCCACACGCACACACCTTCCAGTGGCTGCGCCAACTTCCGAGACACCTGCTCCGGGCCCTACAGAGAAGCCCCCACCGCCCTGCTGCCTGACCCTAGGGGGCTCTCCACTGCAGCCCACCGAGGATAGTTCTAGCAGGGCCTCACCGGCCAGGCCCTAACAGACCCCTAGGACACCCAGCTCTCCACCAAGACCCCCTGAATAGATGGGCTGCCTACGGGCCTGGTGCAGGACAATCCCCCCTCCCCCCCATCACCAACCACGTCTATGTGTACCCAGTCCTCCAGGATTGACGACCAGCGCTGCCCGCCGCCCACCGTGCTGCCCCGAGGCCCCACCATGCCGGACGAGGACTTCTTCAGCCTCATCCACAGGGTGCAGGCCAGGCGCATGGATGAGCAGCGGGTGGACCTCGCTGCAAGTCCTGAGCAGGAGGCTGCAGGACCCCCGGAGCAACGGCAGCAGGGCCCACCCGGAGATAGCTAAAGCCTCGGCCCTGCAGCTGGCTCGCTCCCTGCCCTATTCCTGAACTCGGGGGTTCATGTCCCCATCAATGCCCTCAGCCCCCAAGAAGCCAGGCTGGGCCAGAGGATGGGGAGGGCCTACCCCCAAGGGCTCCTGCCTGGTACCTTGTCTCCTGCAGGCCTGCCCACCTAGCCTGCCCCTGCCCAAGCAGGGCAGCGCCCTCAGCATGTTGGTCTCAGGTCCTGGTGCTGCCCGACCCCCATACCATCAAAGTCCCTCTGGGCTGCATCTGAATCACCAGGAAATGTGAGATTGCCGAAGTGTTGCCCTCAAGCCCCGGGCATCTCAATCCTAGATAGCACAGCTCCGGGAGCCGCCGGGCGCCCACCTCAGCCTACTCCCTGGCAGCAGCCAGTCCAGGGTGTGAACCTGACAGGACACTGGTGGGCAGTGAAGGTGATACTCAGACTGTGCCAAGGAGGCCTTTGAGGATGAAGCTGGAGGGGTGGTCCCAACTAGGGGGGCCCCTCCCAGCCCAGGCACGGGCAAGGGTCCTGCTTGTGGTGGGGTGGGAGTCTGGCATTTGTCCTGTGGCTGCGAGGGGACGAGGGGGCTAAGGGTGGTCTACCCACATACTTGAATGTACATGTGTATTTATTGCCACATTATCGGGACACTTCAACCCAGCAGGTCCATCATTTTTCAATTTTTCCGAAAAAAATAAAGTCTCCCAAGTGAAGGCTGCGTGTCAGGATGGGATGAGGGTGCAAGCAGTGTGGTCATTGCTGGTGTTTACAGGAGGGCCAGGTCACCCCAAGGGAGGGGCCAACCAAGAGCCAGAGAATGTGTGGGAAGGGGGGTCTGGAAAGCAAGAGTCCAGCAGCTTAGACAGGGACATGGAGGCCTCAGTTTCCCTGTCCACTGGGTGGTCTGGGTGGCTTTTCTAGATCCAACCAGCTCCCAGGCCTCAGTCCCCAGAAACCAGCCAAACAAACCAAGATGGTTTCAAGGCCACGAGAGACCACCAGCAGGTGGTCAAGGCCCCACTGCCCCTGAGGGAGGGGACTCCGCTCAGGGATGATAGGTTCCCAAAACGGCAGAGGTTTGGGTGGGATAATAGCAGGTTGCTAAAGAGAAAGACGGGGTAACTGAGTGGTAGTACATACTCCAAGGGCGTCAGAACAATGCACGCGCCCCCAGCCTCCAAGAGCAGTGACACCGGGTAATAACTACCCCATGTCCCCCCACCCCCAGCCGTGTGCTTCCCTGCAGCTGGGTTTCTTGCTGAAGGTCACACAGCCCAGAACATTCCAGGAATAAACTTGCTTTGTAAACACAGGAACATCCTGAGTGTGCCGTCAAACATGGCGGTGACAAATGAGGCCGCGTGTGACTTTGGAAGCACTCCCGGAGGCCGGGAGTCCAGCCCCTCACCCTCACTCCCTGCATCTCCTTGCCCAGAACCAGGTGTGTAGCAGGTCAGACTTGCGTCCCACCTCACAGAGGAAACCCCACCCTGTGCTTCTGGGGTGCAGGGACACAGGAGGGAGAAGGGTCTGGTTTTACCAATGGGGAGCACTACAAGGCGAGCAGCTCCCTGGCCAATCCTTGTAGCCTGAGGTACAATGGGTGCTGGGTGCTAGGAGGGGAGGGGGCCTTGCCCTAGGCAGAGCAGCTCCAGGCTCCCGCGGGATTCTGACTCCAGAAAAGGTTGCCAACAGAGGAGCCCCAGGGCCTGGCCTCTGAAAGTGAGTCTGTTTACTGACAAACGCCAGCCGAGTGGCTGTGCAGATGCCAGGCAGGCTGGGAGGGAGACTCAGGGGGTCTCTGACTTGCCAGGGTGGGCGGAGTCCTCATCCTCACCCCCTTCTAGAGAAGCAGTGGACTGGGGGGCCGCCGCAGCCTCTAAGACCACTTCCAGTGCCCCATCGCCGGCCACCCGCCGCACCTGCTCCCCTCGGGCCGCCAGGATTTCTTCAACATTCCTGCTAGACGAGGAGGATGCATTAGTGGTACAACAGGCCTCGGGGTCGGCTTCCCACCCAGGCCACACGGGGCTACAGGCAGCGTCCCCAGTGGTCGCTAATATCCACCTTGGGCAGCCACCCGGGGATAGAAAGGGCAGGGTTTCTACTCCAAGGCAGCCAGCAGTCAGCAGCTGCAAGGCCCCCAGGTTCTGTGCTTCTAGAAGATGAACGCAATGAAGCTTGAGGTCTGCTCCACATACGCACCCCGACATCCTGCCGTGGTCTCACCCCCCAGACTTGGCCAACCCGACACATCAGAGTCTCTGCCCCTGGCCGTGGTTGTGGAAATCTGCCAGAGGAGTGGTCTGTTGGGGGTCGGCCCAGCAGGGAGAGGGAGCTGTGCTGCAGAAGTCAGTGAGGCAGGAGCTTCGGACTCAGGAACCCCAGTCCCCCACCGCTCAGCCCAGCCTCACCTCTTCCCGTCCAGGTCAGAGAACCAACCCAGGTTGTCTGCGATGATGTGATGGTTCCGACAGCCCTGGCAGGTCACAATGACCACGCCCTGGTGGTAGGCCAGCTTGGAGATGCGCTTGGAGGAGCGGGTCCCACAAACCTGGCCACACAGCACAGGGGGATTGAGGGGTGTCCACACCTGCCCCTCCCAAGAACGAGCCCCGCCCCTTTCCTGGAAAGTCCCCACCCTCCTGGGGAGGGCCCACCTCTCTTAGGGGGGTAACTCCACCTCTCCCCGTGGGTGACAGCCAACTTCAGGAAAGCCCACTCCTCTGGAAGAGTATCCGCCCTTCCCCAGGGTCCCATCCCCGCCCCTTCACCCAGCAAGACCACGCCCCCAAACCTGGTCCCACCCACTAACAGGAAGGCCCCGCCCCCTGGTGGGCCCGGCCCTCCCTCCGGCAGGTGAGGGCTCACCCCGCCGCGCACCCACCTTACAGGTGTAGACCAGCTGGTAGTGCTTTGATTCCACGCGACCCAGAGCGGTCCCGGGCCCCTGCCCCGGCTCGGAGCTCAAGCGCCGCCAATTCCAATCCCAGGCCCACCGCTTCCCCGCGGCTTCCGGAAGGGCCCCACGAGCCCATAGCTGCCTCAGACCGGGTCTCCGGGGCCGCGTGCGGCTCAGCAACACCGGAGCCCGGCCCAGCACAGCTCGCAACATCCCTCGTGCCGCTCGGCAAGCCCCGCCTAGGCTCCGCCCCGCCGCCATCTTGGAAGCGGGCACCGGGCGGAAGCGGCCCTCCGCGGTTTCCGGCCGTGTTTGCCGCCCCCTGGCGGACGTACGCGCTCTGGGCGGGAACTCGCCGGGGTGACGCGGTGAGGGATGCTAACTGAGTCCCCGACGTGCGTGGTGAGCGGAAAACAGTGCTTCTCGGGGCGACAGGGTCATCGCGACCCCGCTGTTAACTTTTTATTGACTTAGCTGCATTTTAAAAATTATTACGCAATAAAAATGACAGAAGTACGTGCGCCGACACGGATCAGATGCACCGGGATCCGAAAGGACAGCTCTGCACACAGCACTCGGTGGCTCCCAGGAAAGCTGCGGTCACAAGGCCAAGTGGCCAGTTGTCTGTCCGTCCAGCGGCGGGGCCTCGGTCCTTCCTGCCAGGATGGGCTGGCCACGCTGGCTAGGAGCCCTCCGTGTCCGTGTTGTCGCTGCCGGTGGTGTTGCCCCAGTCCACCTCCCCCAGCCGAGAGCCGTTCTGAATCTTGCGGAGGGCCCGCTTCCTGGGGGCGCACACGTGCAGATGGGGCTGAGTCCTGCCAGCTGCCGGGGACGGCGCCCCTCGCCCCCCGCACCTGAGCGCCCCCAGCCGGCTTACCTGCGGTAGTTCTCGAAGCTCTCCTTGAGGCGCCGCCGCTCCTTCTCCGGGGGCTCCCCGCCGCTCAGGCCTATACCCTGGGTGAGGGGAGGCTCAGCCCTGACTGTTTGGTGCCCAGCAGGACTGGCCTCATGTCAGCCACTCCCCACCAGGGCCTGGGGCAGAGACCGTGTGGCCACCCCAACCCTGACCCGTTCAGAGGTCACTAGGGAGAAACAGGGAGCCCAGAGCCTGGGCAGCCACCCACCCAGGCAGCCTTACGTTGGGGGTCAGTGAATGCCGCTCCTTCGGAAGAGCCTGGCAGGGCTGTTCCGGGCTCTGCTCTTCTGCCAGGCCACCTGGAAGCCAAGTCTTACTGTCAGCCCCACCTCGGGCCTCCGTGACCTCACCCTCAAGGCCTCACCAAGTCCCTGGGGCCTGTACCAGGCAGTGAGGAATGCCCTCCAGGGCCAGGGCAGCTGGGGGCAAGCTGACCCCAGTCTGCTCCTCCTGCTGCTGACCAGCCCACCTGTGCCTGGCTCCTCCTGGGTCCCTCCCACCCCTGGCCCTCTCGTGGGCCTCCTAAGCCTCAAGTTCAAGTCTTCTGGGCAACAGATGGTCAAACCCCTCCCCCCCTCCCCCCCACTTCTCCATTTTGCTGCCCGTTCTTCCCCTTACTGCTTTAGAAGTGGACGTCAGGCCTGATGCTGAGAAAGGAAGTCTCTGTCTGACTTCCCATGAAAACTCCCCAGTGTCCCCATCTGTCTGTCAGCTCCTCCTAGCTCGGTTCTTGGTCCCTGTCTCACCCCGCTCCGTCCTGTCCCTTATCCCAAGGCACCTGTGCCCAACCCCCAATTCCTAGAGGTCATCACTTCACACCCCACCTTGCTCTGGGGGACCACGGAGGGCTCGGTGTGGACAGTAAGCCCTGGCCAGAACAGCCCACCTTGCAGGCTGACCTACTGACCACCACGAGACGTGGGTGTGCCAGCTAGGCCCAGGCCTGAGCCAGATGGAGTGCTTCCTCCTCCGGCTGTGAGGAGAGGACTGAGCCTCCCTTGTGCTGGGGCATCAGGGAAGGGAACGAGCTCCCAGGGCCAAGCTTGACCCCGATGCCTGAGGCCAGTCCTGAAACACCCACATTCACCCCTTCACCTTTGTCCGAGAGCTGAGCTTCTTCCTCCAGGCTCGGGGGCATTGAGAGCTGTGCAAAAGAGAGGGTCACTGGAGCAGGTGGGTGCAGGACCCATGGCTCTGAGGGAGGACGGCGGGGGCAGCCCCGCTCTTGTCCACCTGGGTCACACTCACCTCCTGAGAGCTCCGGGGTGAGCTGTCCTCCAAGCCAGAACTCTGAGGGCACAGAAAGGCCTCAGTCGGTAGGTGTCGGGTGATGACCGTGTGAGGTGGCCCGGATCCCCAGGCCCTGTCCTCTCTGGGTCCCTCTCCACACCCTGCCCCTGCCCAGAACCCCCTCCACCCCGCACACACCCAGAGCAACCCATGGGGCCCACGGTCCAGTGCCTACTTCCTGCGTGGAGTCACCGTGAGGAGGGAATCTAGCTAGGGTGACCCAACCCCACAGAGGAGGACGCTGGCCCCAAGCCCCCAGGGGAGAAGTGGCTGGCTGGGCTCCTTCCGGGGTCCCACCAGAACGGGCATTTCCAGCTGGTACTGCTTGAGCCGACCCTCGGCAGCCAGCAGCTGGCCCTCGCGTTGAAACAGCTGCAGCTGGAGCTCATCTGCCTTCTCGCTCAGCTCACGGACATGCTTGCGTAGCCTGTCCTTCTCCTGCAGGCCCCGTGCTTGCTGTGTGTGGAGCTCCTCCCGTGTCGCGATGGCCTGTGGTCAGGTCGGGGACAGGCCAGGTGGGCCGGAGCTTGAGGCCTCACTCTAACAAAGTCCCCCGAGCAGGACGTGTTGTCTGGTCAGTGTTGGGGGGGCAAAGCCGTGAGGCTGCTGATGGGACATGTGCACAGTTCTGCAGGTCTCAGCCTCGGGACGACCTCATGGAGCACGTGCTAGGGAGGGGACTGTGTTCTCAGCTCTGTCCCTGTGAGCGTGACCATGTGGGCAAAGGGGGCAGGGAGGGTACTGGCCTACAGGAGTGGTGTCCATAGAAAAGAGAGACAATAGCGAGAAGGGGTGTGTGAAGACAGATGCAGAGATGGGAGGGTCGCTGCCACAAGCCAAGAACGTGAGTGACCACCAGAAGCTGGAAAAGACAGGGAGAGGTCCTCTGGAGGTAGCAAGAGCTGTGATGGGAAACGGGTCTGTTCTGAGTCCTGCTCAGACTGCCCCCTTCTGAGAGGGGACTGGGCAGGGCACCTACCTGGTCCCGCTCGATGGCCACCTCCTCCATCTGCTGCAGGACGGCCTCAATGCGGTCCTTGTACATCTTGGAGTCTTTACGCAGAGAGAGGCACTGCAACTCAACCGTCTCCTTCTCCTCCACGCACTGCAGAACACACAGCTCAGCCCAGTGCCCGGAGCCAGGGGCAGGACCCAGCTCCCAGACTCCCCCACCCACGGCCCACGGCCCCGTCCTGCCCCGCACCCGGGCTCGCTGGGCCTCGGCCTGTCGCAGGTCCTTGCGCAAAGAGAAGATGGTGCTGCTCTGCTCCTGGTGGTCCCGCAGCGCCTGCCGCCAGTCCTCCTCCAATACCTGGATGTAGGCGCTGCTCCTGTCCCGAGGTCCATCCTGTGTGGACGGACAGGAAGGCGTGTCGGGGTGTGGTGTCCTCTGCCAGCTCCCAGCCTCGGAGCCAGCCCCTGGGCCCCGGCCCACCTGGGCAGCAGCCTCGAGCTCCTGAACACGGGCCTGCAGCAAAGCCTTCTCCTGTTGCAGCTCCCAGAGCAGCTCCTGGCTGGGCCGCTGCTCCATGGCGTGCCTCAGCTTCAATGTGTGCTTGCGCTCCACTTTGCAGTCGTCCTCGGCCTTCATGAGGCTGTGCTTGAGCCGGTCCACCTGCGGGACCCTCGTCAGCGCCGCTCCTCACCCCAGGGCCCTCCCCGCCCGGGACCCCTGGCGCCCACCTCCAGCTGCAGGTCCCGGTTGCGCATGAGGGCGACGCCCTTCTCCTCGCTCAGCCGTGCCAGGCGCAGCGCCAGGTCGTAGTTGTCGTCTTTGCAGCGCTTCAGCTCACGGCCCCCCGCCTCGCTCTCCTCCTTGAGCCTCTGCACGCGCTCCTGGTGTTTGCGCAGCAGGCTGTCCTTGACACGCAGCTCCTTGATGAAGTCGTCCTTGGAGCTCAGCAGCGCAGTCAAGTCCTGCACCTTTTTCTGCAGCTTCAGCACCTCGCTCATCAGCAGCTGCGTCAGGCCCGACTCGCCCGAGGCATCTGCAGCCACGGGGCCGTGGTAAGGCCAGGCCCGGGGCCCCAGCCTGCTCCCACGGCTCCCCCCATCCCCCCGCAGCCCCTCCGGTCAGCTCACCTATGATAGTGGAGAAGACGCGGGCTGGCTCCTTGCCCGTGACTTTCTTGTACAGCTGGGGGTAGTAGAGCTCCAGGCTCTCCAGAAAGGCCACATAGCCCTTGTGGCCCGTCCGCTGCAGGATGTCCAGGAGTACGCCTGCAAGCAGGGCCACTGGTGGGTGGGCACCCGGGGATTGGGGGTGGAGTGGAGAAGGGGTGCTCAACTCTGGGCAGGGCCCACAATGTCAGCCCTGGGCCAGGTAAGGGCAGCCAGGTGAGGGCAAGTGTGACACACACCCACTTTGCGCTTGCGGATGACCAGATTGGGGTCGCTGAGCACCTGCTCCTCATCGTCAGGGTTGAGGACCTTACATTGGCGCAGGTAGGGCGTGATGCGGGAGGGGTCAATGACCGAGATGAGCTTCACTCGGAAGCCTTCCAGGGTGTTCCAGCACTCATCATCATTCTCGTAGTCCGACATGGCCGTCCTGGGCTGGCGGGAAGTGGGGTGCAGGTTGGCATGTGGCCCTCCCGCCCCCACAGCCCAGTGGGAGCCTGGCTGTGTGGACTTCCTCATTTCCGAGTGACAATGGGCTGTGTCACCCTTGCCTCCCCTTCCAGCCCCTGTGCCCGCTCCATCAGCTGGCGGGCGGTGATTCAACAGAGCGGGCATGGGACCCTCCCTCCAGCAGTGGCCCAGGTGGGTAAGGGCCCCACAGGGGTGTCTGCCCAGTTCAGGCACGCTGGGAGGGGCTCTGGGAGCACCCGCAAGTGGCCCAGAATGCTGTCTTGCCACCTGCTCCAGTCCCGGGCACCCCTGTTGCCTGGCTCCTCTCCCAGGAGTCCTGGCTCCTGGTCACACGATGGAGACACAGGAAGAGGCCCCTGGGCAGATGGAGCCTCTGAGGTTGGGGCCCCATTCCCAGGGGCAGCCTGGGGTGGAGATAGAGCCCCTAGCCTTGGCAGAGCCTCAGACTCTAAAATGATCCAGAGCAGTTCTCGGTAAGGTTCTCCATCCATTATGGCTAAGACAGAAGGGGGCTTGGCTAAGACCTTTCTGGCTGTTGTCCCCAGGGTAGACCTCACCCCAACACTCTCCCAGCACTAGGGGTGCTGACCTGTCCAAGGGGTAGTTTAGGGATCCTCGGCACCAGGGGGTCTGCTGATCTGCTGCTGCCCTGGAGCACCAACAAAGACCCCCAACACCAGCCAACCCACCTCAGGTCCTTGGCTGGCTGCTGCCTGTGGGCTGTGCCAATACTCTGCCTGGTGCCCAGATGTAGCCACAACCTGCTGCCCGGGAGGGCGGGGCCGCGGCCCCTGGCACTTCCTGTGGCCCAGCAGGGAAGTAGGAGCCCGGAGGAAAGTCTGAAGGAAGACGCTGGAGTCTCCTACCCCCACCCCTGTACCCCCAGCACAGCGACACCTGGTGGTTTCTTCAGCAAAGGGTGCTGGTCCCCACGCAGCACCAAATCCAGGGACTGGGTCTGCACCACAGGGTCCACACCCTCACAGGAGCCTCTCTGGTGACAGTCAGGTTCCCAGGGCCCCACACGTTTCATAAGGATGCCAACAGCGGGATGGAGCTGCCACTGTCTGGGAACCCCTAGAGCCAGGGCCTCAGCAGCAAATCCAGTCGGCCTGTTCCTCCATCAGCTGCCGAGAAGGGGTGGGCCTGGAGCTACATCAGAGCCAGGACCAGGAAGGAGCAGGTGTTCCCACCCCTCCACCCAGCCTGGGCCTTCAGGGCTCCGCCTCAGGCCCGCCTCTAGGCTGGGTCCCCATGTGTGTGTGATAGCAAAGGTGTCTTCCTGGAGTGTGTGTGAGAATAAACCACAGACACCACCTTCAGGAAACTGGAGGTGAAACCCCACCCATTGAAGAACCCACAGGTCAGGAATTACAGGAAAAAAGGCGAATCTCCGCGTGAGCACCCCACGCTCCAAGGGAGGAGCCTGCGCACACTGACAGTCCCACTTCTCTCGTCCCCCAGAGACAGGACCACACAGGACCAGGTGACCAGCATCATTTGTGAGCACCACCTGCCCAAGTGTCTCCCCGGAGGACGGAGCAGCACAGAGCAGTCCTGTGGTTTGCTTTTCTTCAATGAATAAAAAAACACCCAATAGAATACTTCTTTATTACTTCACAGGGCACGTTTGCACCTGGGCCTGAAGCAGCCCTCAGGAGACGGCATAGGGATGACACCGTGGACACGGGCAGATGGCGCCTCTGTTCCCTCATGCGGGTGGGAGTAGCCCCCGGAACTCAGGCACATCGCGGTGGCAGGGTGTCCTGGGCCTGAGCAGACCACAGGCAGACCTGCAGATTGCATGGACACTTGGTCAAGGGAAACTGGGCTTGGGGACAGTCAGACCAGGCAGCAGGGAGATGGTGTGGGGCCTCGAGGACACTGACAGGGCAGATGGTTCCCTCCCCTGCCCAGCCTTCACCACAGTCTCGCGCGGCCTGCTGTCCTCCTGACTGCCCACTGACCACAACGCTCTCCCTGCCCCGTCTGGGTCGACAGTGCGCACATGTGTGCTTGTGCCGCAATGCACAGTGGGCCATAGGACTGTGCTCTGCAGACACCAGGTCAGGGGCCAGGGCTGTCAGAGGAAAAACGGACACCCCTCAGATGGGTGGTCGGCAGACTTCCTGAGGAGCGTCAGAGATCTAATGAGGGCGTGAGTGGTGCTCAGAGTAGGCAGGGGAAACAAGAGGGACGCTGGCCAACCGAACCCCCCCACGACCCCAGTAGCACCCCACAACTCACCTGTCAGGACAGTCGCCCCCGCTTCCGGCCGTTTTGAGTCCTGAGTGTTGGGCGGTTGTCTGGGGAGTCTCGGCAGGGTGCTGAGGCCTGGCCTGGGGTTGGCTGAGAGACATGCCAGAGAGCAGGGAAGGAGAGACGGTGACCCTCTGCCCCCATACTGTCCCTACCACCAGGGGATCTGTCCCAGGTAAAGGAGGGGTCCCGGCCCTGGCTTCCTGCGGAGTTCCCCTATCTCTCTCTGCACACCTGCCTGCCAAGGGGCCTGCACCCGAGGATAGGCGGATGGGATCTCTTCCTCGTTGAATTTGGGATTTTAGTGCCCAGCCTAGGGCACCCAGGGAGACTCAGTCCACTCAGGGAACAAGGGTGACCAGGGACCCACCCAGTGCAGCTCTGTCCCATGTCCTTGCTGACTGAGCCCACGTGAGTCTGGGGGGTCTGGGGAAAGTAGCCCCCTCAGACACGGCACTGTGGCTCCCTCCCAACTTCCTCACCAGTGTCCACCCACAAGTGGGGAGCTGGCCTGTGGCTTCCTCTTCAGAGCCAACACTGCCCTTCCCACTTCCCCACCGTGTGTGGCAGGGCACCTCACCTGGGGGCCCACTCCATCAGGGCATTTGGGGTCCCCCAGAAGGCTCTCATCCTCACTGTCCGAGTCTAGTCGAGTGCTGGCGGACAGGGTGGTAGAGACACCCAGTGGGGGAAGGGTGGCCAGGAGGGCAGGCAGGGAGAAGGCGGCCAGGAATCGGGCTTTGAGCAGCAGGTAGGCCGGGCTGTCCCCAAGCCTCGTGTGCACCATGTCCAAGGCAGCCTTCAGAGCTCCGGCCTGGGGTCCACCTTCAGTGCCCACTGCAGTGCCCGGTACCAGGGTGGCAGCCTTGTATTCTAAGGTCTCCTTGTGGAGCAGGAGGCTGGACAGGGTCCTCAGGGTACACAGTGCGGGGGGCTGGTAGGGCAGTCTCTTTCCCAAAGATGGCACACAGCCCCCCCGCTGGCCCCTCAGCCATGCCTGTGTGTCCCCTGCTTCTTCCAGCGAGAGGAGACTTGTGGCCAGGGGACCCTTCTTGGGGCAAGGCTGGGATGAGGGTGGCTCTGCTTCAGAGCGGGAGGACGCTGCAGGTTGGGGAGGGGCTGCCCCAAGGGCAGAGGCCCGCTCCCCAGTTGCCTCTGCAGGACTGTGGAGGGTGGGGGCCGCCCTGGGGGGTGAGGCTGGGGAGGGCAGCAGAGTCACCGAGCCCCCAGGGCCAGAGCTCACTGCAGGCCGGGGGAGGCCCACCATGGCTGGCACAGATGAAGGCACAAGCACCCATGTGACAGGCAGGGTGGTACCAGCTGCCACATGGGTGGGCACTAGGTTGAGGGCAGGGAGCTGGGCAGGGCTGGGGGCCGCAGGGAGGAGGAGTGGCAGCTCAGGTAGGCCCTGCTTCCGGGATGAGGTGGGGGCCTGTGACTGCCCCAGGCCCCTCTGATAACCAAGGATGGGGACCTGGTTCCTGGAGCCTCCGATCGGGGTCAGGGTGGGGATCGGGGCTTGAAGGATGTGGGGTCTCTGTTCCTTGGCTGAGATCTGAGCCCCCTGCAGGGGGTTAGCAGTACCTGGAGCAGCCCCTATGGGGACCCCAAGTCCTGGCATATTGCAGACAGGTGGGCCTGCAGCTGGGGGTCCTTGGGGGGCTGGCTGCAGAGTGGGTAGGGAGCCTCCAGGCGAGGAGACCAGCAGCTGGAGAGGAAGTGGCCTTGGGTCCAGGATGGTCCGCCTGGCCTGCGCCTCCTGTAACCTCTTCTCACGAAGCAGCTGGGACACAGTCTTGGCCTTGGGCCGGGGGCCTGACAGAACTGGCGAGGGGCCTGGTGACCTGGGCTGATGGGTTCCCAACCTCCTGCTGTCACTGTGGCTGCTGCTTTGCCTTGTGGCCTGAGTTGGCACGCCTGGGGGGAGGACCACATCACACACGGTGACCGGCCACCCAGTCTCATGCCAGGTGTCCAGCAGCTTATTCCTGATGTCCACCCAGGGTCAGCAAACCTGCCACCTCTCATCCCCTCCCAGAGCGGGGTTGGCCATGCCAGGGGAGCCCTTGGCCTTGCTGACGGACTCTAAGCAGACCCTGTCCAACCAAGTAGCCTGGGGTTTGCTGCTGGATCACATGGGGCCATACCTGCATGGTGCTGGGCCTGAAAAGAAGACAGAGGTCTGTCACCAAGGTCCTCCCCCTCACGCCCCACCAAGCCCAGCTCATCCTGCCAGGGTCCTATCCACCAGGGTGACCCACGTTTCCCAGGGCCAGACGCCCTCATGAGAAGCGGAAGTACCTGGTTGTCTGGAGGGCACCTCGGGGCTCAACTCAGTGCCCCTGGAGATGACCACTCCACACGGCTCTCCGGGAGCATGATGGTGGCCACTGGCAGGCTCACATTTTGGTACCAGCCCCCCTGCCCAGAGGGGGAGGGATGAGGCCTGCCTAACCCCCCACCTGCAGATGATGTAGCACGGTGGGGGCCTGGGTCTTCCTCTCTCGGATGACCTCCATGCAGCCGTCAGCGTCAATCTGGAAAAGCTGAGGGTGTGCAAGATGGAGACCCTGCCCCACAGCCCCCACCATCCAAGTCCACCAGCCTTCAGGTTCTGGTGGACGTTAGTCCTGGGGCTGGGGGAGCCTGGAGGTGCCTGCCCCAAACACAAGACTGGGCTGGAAAGGGGTGAACCTGCTGGCTGCTATCACCACCCAACAGGGCCTCCCTGCCCCACACACCTGGATCAGCAGCGTGAACACCGGCGTGCTCTTCAAATGGGAATTCTGCAGCTGCCTCCAGATGGCATCAGCTAGGGACAGGGACAGGATTCCAGCAATGGCCTCTCCACACGGGTGGGCCTCACAAAGCCTCGGACACAGCGCCCACCCCAAGCCACATGCCTTGAGAACCAGGGGCGGGGTCAGCTGCCTAGAACCACACCAGTTCTCACATGGCTCTCCTTAGGGGCTGCCTCCCCCTGCACCATGCATCCCAGTGCCCAGCCCAGCAGTACCTCTGGTCTGCACCGTGGGTCTCCGAGGCGCCTGTCTGGGTGGCAGGACAACTTTGCCCACCCAGGGGCCCACAGCCATCAAGAGTCTGCGGTTGAGGAGCCTCCTCTGCAGGGCGTGCCTGTGTCTCTGGCGCCGCAGCCCGTGTGGAGAGGGAGGGGGCCAGAGGGGGCCAGAGCTGCTCCCAAGGCTGGGTCCCGGGGGCCTGCTGGACAGGGGCTGTTGCGGCCGCCTCCACTGCTCCTTCTTTAGGAAAAAGACCCAGTTCCACCGTGGGGAAGGGGTGAGATTATGTTTGTGTGGCGTATGGGTGGGGAAAAGGGATACGTGGGTGGGTGGGGAAGGGGCGTATGCGTGGGGAGGGAGGGGGATGTGTGGGTGGGGAAGGGGTGTGTGTAGCTGGGGGGAAGGGACTGTATGGGTGGGGAGGATGGGAGTCGTGTGGATGCCCGTGTGCCCCCGTGTTCACAGCGTGTTCCTATGTCGGAGTGTCCGTGGGGTAGGCTCACCAGGGGGCGGCCCTGGGCAGCGGTGTTGGCTCGGAGCACCCGCAGCACTGTCTCCGGGGACACCTCCTGCCCGTGTGTCCCATGCTGAGGAAAGACCAAGGCTGTTTGGGAGCGGCCCCTCCCATGTCCCCAGTTCTGGGGCAGTTGCGGGGCGGGGGTGTGTGTGTGAATCCCCAACCATGGGAATGAGTCTCTAGAGCACGGGCTCACTTGGCCCGGGGCCAAGGGCACCTCATGTTCAACATGCAAAGAACATGGGTGCGCTCCTCTCCTAGCTGCCCACCTACTCAGCCATGGGCAGCTGGGAGTACGGTCCTCGATGCCTCGCCCAGGAGTGAGCAGGGCCAATGGCTCCCAGTTTAAGTGCTCCAGGCTGGCCCCATGGCTGCCCAATACAGGGTGGGGGGTGGAGGACACAGGGAGCACTTGCTGTCCGCCTGACATCAGCTAGAGAACTAAGGGACTGGAAGGCCTGGTCATGTGTTCTTACCTACCTTGTCCCCCAACTCCTGGTCACTGGTTGGGCACGTGTTTGCCAAGCGCTGGTGTTGGATGCTACCATGATGGTCAGTTTCTGCCTCTTTGAGGGGACGGGACAGGACAGGTGGTCGCCCTGACCAATCCTGGGCACATGCCCATAACTTGGTGGGGCACTGCCTGGCAGGAACCCACAGATCCATGCTTGGCACCACATATGGGGTTGGCGGTGGCACCTCGCCTTCCCCGCTGGCTCCTGAGGTGTCTTCAGGCTCGGTCTCTGTGTCCTCACTGCTACTGTCCCCACTGTCCTCGCTCTCCTCACTGCTGGAACTCCACCGGATACACCGCTGGGGCCTCCGCCGCCGGCGCCAGTGCCTCTGTTTCTTCTGAGTGGGAGGGTGGCAGAAGCTGAGGTGACCCCACCCCACGACCTCACACGCTCGCTTACTTCCCGGGCCCAGAGTTACCTCTGCCCTTGTCCGCTCTGGGGAAGAGGTGGACCCCACTGACCCTCCCCCCCATCCTTACCCTGACCATGATCTTCCACTTGCTCAGACACTGGGAGCCTGTCCGGTGTGGCAGCTCTGCCGCAATTTTTGCCCAGTGACCTAGGAGAGCAGAACAGTCCTGTAGTGGAGGGCTGTACCCCAGGCCCCCAGTCACCCCACAGGCTCTGACCCCTGGGACCCCCATGTCACAGCAACCCAGTCCCTCCCAGAGGTGCTCCCAAAGGCAAGTCAGAGAGAAGACCACCTCCAAGGAGTGGAGTGCTGGGGAGCCGCTCTCGTGGGACCAGGCCCCCAAGACATCAGGGGCTTGTTCACAGGACAGCTGGACAACATGGATTAGAAGCTTTATAGAAGCTTCTACCAACCCAGGAAATGCCACTCCCGAGACCAGTTAGGCTGTGGCTGTAGAACACATGCCCCTTATAGCCCCATAATCCCCCAGTCCCCAGGGCCTTACAGCCCCACATCACCAGAGCACCCAGCTTCTCAGCTCCCCAATACCCACAGCCCCAGCAGCACCGGGGTGGCTGAATGAACTGAGGTGCCGCTGAGCAGGGAGAAGACACAGAGCTGTTGAGGGCCGTCCCAGGCTGCGGGGCGTGTGATGAGGGGAGCACCGCGGAAGCAGCAGCTAATGCTTGGTTACTAAGCAGGAAAGACTGGGGTTCACGAGACTCGGCCCCTAGAAGGCTGCGTTGTCCTGGGAAAACAGCCTGTTCACAGAGGGGTGGGGGCCTGGGCAACTGCACTCCTACACGTCCCTGACCCCTGAGTGGTCATTTGTAATGTAGCAACACAGGCAGTGTCCCAGCTAAACCTCGAGCCCCCGTCGGCCCCTGGGACCTCCACCGTGAGCGTCAAGCAGACACACGGCCGGAACTCACCAGCCCCATGTTTTTCTATCAATTCTATGAGTTTTTCTTCTTCTTTTGGATTCCATCGTCCTTTTTTCAGACTGAAATGTAACCTTCGAAGGTATCTGGAAATGACATGGAAACAACGAAGTACCTGAGATGCTGGGCCCCTGGCCCGCAGGCCACTGAGGAGAGGTGGTGACCAGGCCCCATAGTCATCATGTCCCAGAAGTGAAAGGTTGGGGTCGGGACTGCAAGGGCAGCGAGGGAGGCCGACCTCCACAGGCACCATTGCACTGATGCTCTGGAGCCCCAAACCGCTCAGAGCCTGGGACAAGGCCCTCACCTACACCAGTGGGCAGGATGGAAATCCAGAAAGGAACAGTCACCTCATGGCCAACAAGGGTACGGACACAGCTCAACAGAGAAAAAGACTCTTTAACAAAGGGACCACCACAAGGCCTCAAAGTATGAAACTAAGAAGAAACCAAGAGAACATTTGCATGATCTTAGAAAGTCCTGGTTAAGTGGCCTTGAGTCAGTTCCAACTCATAGCAAGCCTGTAGAGGGTTTCCGAGGCAGCTGCTGAGTTTGAACCCCCAACCTTGCAGTCGAGTGCGTATCTTCTAGCACCACCCCAAAATTCACCCTTAGTGATTAGGGTGACACAAACCAAATCCTCCATGAGGCACCTCTTGCCACCCACCAGGATGGTGTAGTCAGAAAGACCGAAGGGCAAGTCAGGCCTCTGGAGGACAGGAACCCTTACACACTGCTTCCTGCTGCTACTGGGCATAGGGGCCGTGCAGCCGGTGCTGACCCGCAGTGACCCTGTGAAGGCTTTCCGAGGCTGTAACTCTTCACGGGAGCAGAAAGCCTCATCTTTCTCCGGCGGAGAGGCTGGTGGATTTGAACTGCCAATCTCGTAGCTAGCAGCTCAGTGCTTACCCTACAGTGCCACCAGGGATCCCTTCACACTGCCGTGACAGTGCTAAGAGGACGATCAGTGAGCAGTTCTTTATAAGGACAAACAGTTACCACATTGTTGTTGTTGCTGTGACATGCCACTGAACCGGTTCCGACTCACAGGACCCCTGTAGAGGGTTTCCAAGGAGTGGCTGATGAGTTTAAACTGACCCTGTGGACGGATCCGTGCTTATCCTACAGTGCCACACCAGAATGCTAAAGCAACTGGAAGAAATGTGGAGGCAAAACAGCTTAACAGAAAATTCCAAAAAAAGGCAGCTCAAGGAGACCAAGTCACACACTTATAATGTGTTTTACAATGACATGTGTGAAGACCTGGAGTTAGACAACTAAAAAGAACACGTTCAGCATATCTCAAGCTGAAAGAACTGAAGAAAAATTCAAGTCTCAGTTTGCAATACTGAAGGATTCTATGGGCAAAACATTGAATGATACATGAAGCATCAAAATATGGAAGGCGTATACACAGTCACGGCCCTAAAGAGGAGGTGGCAGATTCCCGGCAAGATGGCGGGACACCACACAAAGCCTCTATAGCAAAGACACGAGAGACCAAACGAAACAGACTCAGATGAAAACCCTGGAGCCCTGAGCTTCAGAGGAAAGGTCAGAGAGTGGACTGAGTGGGTGCTGGGAGGGGAAGCTGAGCAGGGACAGTGAGAGAGGGAGACTGACCGGTGAACGGCTGGCCAGACGAGGCACGGCCATCTCGTCAGCAACTCTGTCAACAGAAGCTGGCCTAGCACAGCAGACTCACACAGGCGATGGGTAAGGTGCAATTCCTTATTTTTCCAAACACTCCCCTGGTGACCGGAGGTGTGGCCAGCTCTTTCTAGTCCCTTGAATTTTGCCTTTCGTACCTCAGCATGTCATAGCTATGGAAACGACACAGAATGTAAACAGGTTCAATGCACCAGCTGAGACTTACAGAACGCACAAGAAACCCGGATCTTTCAATATGCTGTCTACAAGAGACACAGCAAAAAGATGGAGACAGCTTACATGCTCAACAACACAAGAATGGCTAAACGAACTTCGGGGCACACACATGCACTGTAGAAGAATAGTAACGATGAGTCTGTGCAACACTTGAAGACATAGGATGAGCCTGGAGGACACTATGCTGAGTGAACTGAGGGTATCACAAGAGGACAAACACTGTCGGAGACCACTGTTGTAAAAGCGAATACAGTGGGGGGCTACAAAGGCAAGAAGTGACTGGCTTACAAGCTTTCAAGAGGGAACCTAGATCCAGAGGACCTGGAGGAAGGTAGAATCTCCAGTGAGTAGTATTCAATCTGACTAGGCGGGGCTGATGCAATGAAATAGTGAATAATTGTTATCAGGACTGATTGTGAGGGTTGGACATGTAAAGGTAGACATTTTATAGCAAGGAGAGGAGTGATTAACTTTTCAGTCTAGGAGCGGAGGTCCCTAGGACCATCAAGGGAGAAGAGCAGAGAGCGGGACCCTACCCAGAGAAGCAGTGATGCCTGAGATGGAGCCAGAGATGATGACGTGGAGAGATGGAGCAGCTGGAGACTTTAGACCCAGAGAGGGAGAGGGGCTGTGTGCTGATGACCTGGGGGGTACGGGGGAAGGATTGCATGGAGGAGATTGTAACCATGGCAATGAGAGACAATATACGAGAGAATGAACGTAAAACTAATGTTCTCCCATGTAAACTATCACATAATTCACAATAAAACATTAAAAAAAAAAGCGAACACAAAGTCTTCATGATAAAAGAAACAAGCTTTGATGGTTGGGGGAGGGGAGAATGGGGCTGTTCATAGCTGGAGGGCAAACACAAGGTAACATGGGGCACAGGGCCCGCAACAGACAAAGAGGGGGAGGTCAGCAGAGGGAAGAGGACGGTTGTGGGAGGCACAGGAAGGAGTGCAGTGTTGGGGTGAACAGAGAGAAATGCTGGGAACTGACAGTCCATCGAAGGGACTGCAATCATTGAAATGAAGAAAAGCATAGGACTGTTAAATGTAAAGCTTCTGCCCTGTAAACCGTCTCTCAATGTACAATAAAAAGTTTTTAAACAGTTAACGTACGTTCAGGAGTGGATGACAGTTTAAGAAGAAAGTCAAGCTGCACTGCAAACACTGGTGGAAAACGTGGCTCCAGGAACAGCTGGAATAGAGCGTGAAATGTCCCAACAGGCTGACGGAGAGCCAGCGGCACTCACTCATCTACACCCAGGAACCTGGAAAACAGCTATATGGTCAACCGATGGGAAGAGATCCCTATTTGTGCCCATCCCAAAGAAAGGTGAGCCAATGGGATATGAAAAGCCAGTGAACAATATCGTCAATATCACACGCAAGCAAATTTTACTATAGATAATTGTAAAAATGGTACATCAACAGGGAACTACCAGAAATTCAAGTTGGATTCAGAAGAGGGTGGGGAACTAGGCACATCATTAGTGACGTCAGATGGATGTGGCTAAAAGCACAGAATACTAGAAAGATGTTTGTGCTTCACAGACAATGTAAACACATTCAACTGTGTGAATAACAGTGCAAAGAAAGGATACTCCATCTCATTTAGAACCCCGTCCAGAGACCAAGAGACAGTCATTAGAACAAAACAAGGGGACACCGAACGGTTTCAAATCAGGAAAGGTGTGCATTGGGTATGTCCTTTTATCATACTTATTCAATCTGTATGCTGAGCAGATAATCCAAGAAGCTGGATTCTACGAAAAAGTACGTAGCCTCAGGGTTGGAGGAAGACTCAGTAACAACCAGAGATATGCACATGATACAACTTGGCTTCCTAGAAGTGACGAGGACTTGGAAATACTTACTGACAAACATGAAAGACCACAGCCTTCAGTGTGATTGCACCTCCACATAAAGAAAATGAAGCCTGTCACCACTGGACCAATAAATAACCTCACAAGAAATGGAGAAAAGATTGAAGTTGTCAAAGTCTTCACTTTGCTTGGATCAACCATCAACACTCATGGAAGCAGCAGTCAAGAAATCAAATGACGTACTGCATCAGGCAAATCTGCGCACGAGACCTCTTTAATGTGCTCAAGAGCAAAGTAATCACTGTGAGGACTAAGGTGCACCTGACCCAATCACCTTATATGCATGTGAAAGTTGAACAACGAATAGGAAAGCCCACAGAAGAACTGAAGCAGTGCATTATGGTGTTGGAGAATACTGACTGTACCATGGACCGACAGAAAAACAAACACGTGTTGGAAGAAGTACAACCAGAATGTTCCTTGAAGTCCTGATGTTGAGATTTCGTCTCTCATACTTTGGACATATTGTCCCTGGGGAAGGACATCAAGCTTGGTAAAGTGGAGGGTCAATGAAAAAAGGAAGACCCCAACAAGATGGACTGACGCACTGGGACGCAACAAAGGGGTCAAACAGTGATGGTGAAGCTGATGCCATCTGGACGGTGTCTCAGTCTGTTGTGCTCAGGGCTACTGTGAGTCAGAACTGACTCGATGGCACCTAACGGAACAGAGACAGAAGCCAATTAGTGGCTACCAGAGGCTAGAGGGAAGATCCCTGGTGGCACTGAGCTGGTTGGTCACTGGAAAGCCAGAGGTTCGAACCCACGGGCCACTCTCTGGGAGAAAGTTGACACAGGACTTTCTAGTCTCACACCCCCTCTGGGCAGTTCCTCTACGACCAGAACCAGCTCCGCACCAGTGGGTTTCAGGGGCTGGCTGCTCATGGTTCCTGTTTGCAGGGAGAAGGCTGTTCTAAGTGTGACTGTGGTCAATCCATCTTGTTGGGGGTCTTCCTCTATTGCTCTACCCTCTACCAAACTTGATGAGCAAAAAAGGGCCAAAACATAACATTTGTGAGGTGCACAATTCTCAGTACACTCAAAGTGCTGAGTACACAGTCACCACGAGAGTGTGACAGCTCGGTAAATCTGAGGGGACCCTGTCAGCCAGCCACCGGGGAGGGGACCCACGGGGCAGGCTCTGAGGACATGCCATGTGTAGGTCTGGCTAGGTCAACTGGGTCACTGAGTCCCACAGCACCACGGAAGGGAAGAATCCCAACTGAGGTTGAGGTCCCCTCCCCCCTGCACAGAGCGCCATCCACTCACCGGTCACGGCACTGGGCGTCACTCCGGCCCGGCACCTCCTCCCGGATTTTAAACCAGTCCTGGGCACCATGCTTAGCGACAGCCTGAAGCAGCTTCTGTGGACAGACAGGCAGGCCAAACTCCTCTCTGTGCTAGACCACAGGTGCCACACGCCACAGCCCACGCCACTTACGAAGGTCAGGCACACTTTGAGGTCACCAAGACACTGGCTCATCACCGCCCACCCAGACCAGCCCATGGCAGCAGCAGAGGAGCAAGGCGTGGACTTACACTGTCTTCCTCGGGGGTCCAGCAGCCCCTCCTCAGGCTGGGGTCCAGGCTCTTGGTCCAGCGGTAGATGAGTTGCATGGAATCACGGCCCTCCATGTAGTAGACAACTGAGGGAGGGGGCCACTCTTCAGGAGCCGGTCCCACACGCCCACCCTGGCCACGCACCTAGGAAGCTGCCCCCTGACACCCTGGCGGCCCCGGGTCCTTGGCCTCCTGTCATTGGCCTGTAGCACACACGCCCGCCCCTCTCCCTGGGTCCTGAGAGCAGGCTGGCCGGGCGTACTCCTGCGGTAGGGGATGTGGCTGCCGACACGCATCTCCTGCACCAGCTGGGTGAGCATGCGGTCCTCCTCCTCCGTCCACTCCTTGCGCTTCAGGTCCCTGTTGTGTTGCTGGAATTTCTGTAAGCACTGGAAGGCACTGCGCTGCGTCTGTAGGAACGTGCCGGGGGGAGAGGTGGACAGAGACGGGTCATAACACGTCTGCTCCATGAGCAGGCAGAATGCTGGCAGCCACACACTGTGTGTGTACCCCAGGTCCCTGAAGGGCTGCCAAAGCAGACCCATGGGGACATCCCAAAGACAGTATCACGAAAGATAACCTTAGAGAGAGTTCAAAACACTTCTATTAAGAGAGTATGTTCAGAGAAATCAACTGTAAGGAACTTGTGTGAAACCAAATTCAAATACCCAACGGCCCTTTCTAGCTGGCCGTTTCTAGCTGGCTGTTTTTCGGGAGAAGCGCTTTGTCGCTGATGCTCCGAACTCAGATGGAGCAGCTGCAGGCAGATCCCCTCGTAAAGGCCTTGCTGTCAATCTGGGGTCTATCCAGGGCTTTCTCAAGTCTACATACTTGTGTGCCATGGAGTCGGTTCCGACTCATAGCAACCCTGTACGGGGGTTTCTGAGGCTGTAAATCTTTATGGGAGCAGAAAGCCTCATCGTTCTCCCGCAGAACAGCTGGGAGTTTCCAACTGCTGACCGTGAGATTAGCTGCCTGACTTGTAACCACTACGCTACCAGAGCTCCTTGACATCTGTATCAGAAGGCAGCTAAGAGGAGTGTGGCATCCTAGGGGGCTTGCTTGTTGCTGTGATGCTAGGAGCTAGGCCACCCATGGCCACGGTTTCAGCACAGCTTTCAGACTTGGAAGGCATCCAAAATACAACTGAGGAAGAGCTGCCTCCTCAAAGTAAAGTCGACCTTAATGATGTGACTAGAAAAAAGCTCTCGGGACCTTCACTTCCTGATGGAACGTGATTCAAAACGAGAAGAAACAGCTGTCAGCATCCATTAATAATCGCATGTAGAGTGTACTGAGTATAAACGGAGGAAAACTGGAAGTTGCCAAAAATGAAATGGAATGTCTAAAAAAGATCGACATCCTGGGCATTAGTGAGCGGCAATGGACTGGTGTGGTGCCTGCCGTTTTGAATCAGATGACCGTATGGTTTACTAGGCAGGGACAACAAACTGAAGAGAGATGGCCTTGCATTCATTATCCAAACCAAATCCATTTCAAGACCTAGCTTAAATATAATACCTATGAGAAAGAACAGCTAATACAACTGCTATTCAAATGTATGCATCAATCCTCAAAGCCAAGAAGAAATGAAAGAATTTTATCAACTTCTTCAGTTAGAAATTGATCAAACATGCAATCAAAATGCATAGATCACTACAAGTAACTGGCATGTAAAAACTGGAAACAAAGTTGGCATCTGTGGTTGGGAGAATATGGCCTTAGTGAAGGAAACCATGCTGGAGACGCAGGACAGAATTCTGCACACCAATGATGTCTTCATTGCAAATACCTTTTTTTTCACTAACATACATACAAACCTCACCAGATGGAATACACAAGAATCAAACATCAGGAGGAGAGACCATGGAAAAGCTCAGTATCATCAGCCAAATCAAGGCTAGCAACTGACTATGGAACGTACCATCAGTTGCCCGTATACAAGTTTAGACTGAAGCTGAAGAAAATTTAAAGTCCACGAGAGTCAAAATCTGACCTTGATTGCGTACATCCCACCTGAATTTAGAGACCATCTCAAGAACCAATTCGATGCATTAGACACCAACAACTGAACCATAAGAGCTGTGGGATGCTATCAGGAACTTCATACCCAAAGAAAGCAAAAGGTCATTAACCAGACAGGGCAAACTAAAACCAAAACGGATGTTAGAAAAGACCCCGAGACGTGCTGGAATGCAGAGTAGCTAAAGCGTCCGTATGGAAGAATAAAGTAAAGCCCCCCAATAGGACAGACTGACACAGCACCTGTGACCCCCCCACTCAAACGAAACGGTGATGAGGACAGTGCCGGACAGG